CATATCAGCGACAGTCTTGGTACATGTCTTACCAACCTTTCGAACATCCGCACTCTACGTCACGGAAAACCACGCGCACCTGCCGGGTCACGCTACCCCTCGCCGGCCTCTGATCGAAGTTTGACGCCACCACCAGCTTTACGTGCTCCTCGATCACCGTCGCCACAGCGACGCGCACGGACACCGCCGCCGGAAAACTCACGGCCATGTCACTTGTGGATACAGGCGCGACAGTCTCGGTGATGAGTGATAATTTTAAGAACCTGCTAGGACCAAAAGTGATGTTTTGCCTGAACCATGGGGTGACATTTCGTGGTTTAAGTGGTGACGTGTTGTGTCCGATGGGATATTGTACTGTGGACGTCTCGCTGTGTGGCAAGGTGTTTTGCACAGAGTTTGCGGTTATTCCGCGGTCTACACATGACGTTATCTTGGGTATCGACTTCTTGTGTGAGTGCGGGGCAATTGTAGGCTGCAGAAGTGGGCAACTTTCTATACACGGTACTTTTCCAATGGCGCTCTTGGAAAATTCCTGTCCGGAGTAATGCATCTTTTTCGTCTCCGTGAACACAGTCGTTCCTGCATATCTGCTGTGTGTGTTCGTGTGACATGTTCCAGTAACAACTGTGGCACGTTTGACGCCACGCTCGAACCGATTCCCTTGGCATGCCTGAAAAATAACATCCTCATTCGCCATTGTATAGTGTCAGTCGTTGATGGACGGGCAGGTGTGTGGACAATGAACAGTTCCATGGAGCCTGCAGTTTTGCCAGGTGGCATAAAGCTTGCAGTATTTAGACCCGAATCATCTACGACGCTGGTTGCGCTTGTTGATGCTACAAGCCAAAATGAACATGTAGGCTTAGAAGGTTCAGAGGATGCCTAATTGCTACAAATGGTCAGCAAGTCACTTGACCAAAGCGAACGTCATACACTGCTCGATGTTCTTTCTAAGCACTGGAAAGTGTTAGATTTTTCTAAAAACAGCCAAAGGCCTTTAATGCCAGCGTCCCGGATACGTCATCATATCCACACCGAGTCGGTGCATCCCATCAGGCTGAAACCTTACCGAGTGGCATCATCGGAGCGCGAGATCATCGACGAGCAAGTTCAAGAAATGCTGAATAAGGGAATAATACAGGAATCGGCAAGCCCGTGGGCTGCTCCCGTCATTCTAGTGAGGAAGAAGGATGGTACGAGGAGATTTTGCGTTGACTACCGCCGACTGAATTCTGTTACCAAGAAAGACGTCTATCTACTGCCACGCATCGATGACGCTCTAGACTGCCTGCATTCCACGTCCTACTTTTCATCTGTTGACCTGAGATCAGGTTACTGGCAAATTCCGATGCACACAGCTGACAAAGAAAAGACGGCATTCGTTACGACCGATGGACTTTACGAGTTGAACGTTATGCCATTCGGATTATGTGTTGATCCTGCAACATTCGAAATATTTATGGACTTTTTATTGCGTGGTTTAAAATGGCATATCTGCATGCGTTACCTTGACGATGTCGTAATTCTTGGACGTATACGTTTAAGGAGCACAACACCCGCCTAGACCTCGTGCTCAACTGCATTAAAAAGCTGGCCTTGTATTGAATTCAAAAAAGTGTCACTTTGGCGAGCGACAAACATTCGTGTTGGGACATCTCGTCGACAAAGATGGCATTAGACCTGACCCACGAAAGACAGCGGCCGTTGAATCGTTCCAGCGTCCTAAATCTGTGAAACAACTGCGTGGCTTCATCGGGCTCTGCTCGTATTTCCGCCGGTTTTCACCCAGATTTGCGGATGTCATTCACCCCCTGACGAGCCTTCTACGCAAGAACAGCCCGTTTCAGTGGACCTCCGAGTGTGATACCGCTTTTCACCAGCTGAAGTGTTTGTTAACTTCGAAGCCAATACTTCGGCACTTCAATAGTTCGTCGCCCACGTAAATTCACACAGACGCAAGTGGCATCGGTATCGGTGCCGTTTTCGTTCAGCCTTCTGGCAAGAAGGAACACGTTGTGGCGTACGCAAGTCGTTCTTTAAGCAAGCCTGAAGGCAACTACACAGTGACCAAACAGGAATGCCTAGCGGTAGCCTTTGCTGTACAACGGTTTCGCTCATACATCTATCGTCACAGATCACCATTCTGTGTTGGCTGGTCAACTTTCGTGACCCATCCGGCCGCCTTGCACGATGGGCCATTCGTTTGCAAGAATATGTCTTCACTATTTCATACAAGACTGGCTGTCTACACGCTGATGCGGGTATCCTCTCCAGGATGCCACTACCGATGACAGATTGGGACGCCGATAACTTTGACCACCTTATCGCTTCTCCGTCGTCTGGCTTTCCCGATGCCGTGACTTTTGCCGCTGAGCAGTGTAATGACCCAAACTTAAAAGCCCTCTTCCCTGGAGCAGGAAAGTCATTATTAAGCGAAGGCCGATTTTGCGTCCGAAATGGTCTTCTTTACCTGAGAAACTTGTCCATGACGGGCGCCCGCTTTCTGGTTGTTCCTGCTTCCCTCCAAAAGTCTGTTCTGCGTCTCACGCATGATGACCCCACCTCGGGCCATCTAGGAACCGCCCGAAATCTTAGTCACGCGAAAGAGCGGTTCTATTGGCCAAAAACGAGCAAGACAATTCAAAACTACGTGGCCAGCTGTACGCAGTGTCAGAGCCACAAGCGGCCCACCTCGGGTCCAGTTGGTCACCTGCAACCCGCAAAGCCTCCTGGTTCCCCTTTTGAAAAGGTCGGCACTGATCTGATGGGACCATTTCTACGCTCCTCAAAAGGTAACCGGTGGATAATTGTATGCGCCGACTACCTGACGCGGTACTGCGAGACGGTTGCCTTATCCTCCGCCACGGCAGTCCTGGTTTCGGAGTTCCTGTTGCATTCAGTCATGCTCCGACTCCGGCCACCTCGCGTGATAAGTGACCGTGGACGACGATTGCCGCTGATATTGTGGAATCATTACTTCGTTTGTGTGCCTCCAAGTTCCGACACTCAACTGCGTATCATCCACAAACTAACGGCCTCACCAAGCGCACAAACCGAACGTTCATCAAAATGTTGTCAATGTATGTCACCTCCGACCACAAAAACTGGGATGAAGTATTACCATTTGCCTTCAACACGGCGAAACACGAAACGACAGGCTACAGCCCTTTCTATCTGCTCTACGCTCGCTCACCTCGACAAACGCTGGACACTATCTTTCCTTTTGCCGTCCATGACGATTTAACAATTACGAAAACTTTGTGTCGTGCAGAAGAGACACGTAGACTTGCCTGCTTACGTACACTGGCCGCGCAAGAGACCTCCAAAACTCGCTACGACAATCAACACCGGCATGTAACCCAAGCCCCCGGTGATCTAGTGCGGGTGTGGACCACAATACGCAGACGTGGCTTGAGCCAAAAGCTACTGACACACTATCATGGAGTATCACGAACGATGGAGTCATGAACGGACCGGCGTATACGCTCCATCGTCTCAGTGAGGTAGACCATGAAATTGCACGTGTCACCACTAGTGGCAGACGTTCATGCAAGACAGAGGTGACGCATGTTGCCCGCCTGAAGCCGTTTTCACGAAGAATACAAGAATGACTCGCCCAGAGGGCTTCGCCTGAGACGGGAGGAATGATACGAAGTGTGACTACCAGAAAAACAAGGGAAGCGCGGGTAGAAAAGAAAGATGACGTTGCTTCTACTGCGATTCCCCTGAGGGGGTACAAACCATGGTGGTGGAATGATCATCATCATCATACTGTGATCGTGGACTCGGTGCCCATTAACCCCCCCCCCTAAATTACCTTACCTTACGTAACAATATATATATATATATATATATATATATATATATATATATATATATATATATATATATATATATATATATATATATATATATATATATATATATATATATATATTCCTTTAAGAGACACTATACACTAAAGTGAAGTTTTTGCCAGTGTGAGACTGCTGGTTTAATGTGGCTCTCCTACACGTCATGCCAAGTGAAAAAAAAAAAGCAAATAAACTACAACAGCAGAGAGTACCGGAGAAGTTTCTTGCACACGACAACATGCTGACAACAGTGGAAGGACTTATGCGTAGAAGATCTCACGTAACATCAAAAATTTGCTTTGAGTTCGGAATGCTAAATCAAATTCGTACTACTGTTACCAAGGTTATCACAGGGTTCCACTCTGTTAAGAGTAACGAAGTAAATGTTTTACGCAGTCAGGTTGCGAATCAGGTTGTATAAGTTAAAAACATATGACAGATGAAGCAATCTTATTGCAATCAACGCCTTAGGCCCCCACGCATACGTGGCAGACACAATGAATGTATGATATAACGAATGTTATATCATATATTTATTGTGTCTTGTCAGACAATGAAGCCTGGATTCATCAAAACTAGACGAAGACAAAAGGAACAACGTTGCATAGATAAATACACATGCACAACTCTGCCGATCTGTTGAAATCAAGTGCACTTCGACGCACGACTGGTGAACCATAGTGCCATGTAGTACATACAACATACCTGGTAACCAGAGCATGGCAGTCACCCAAATAAAGCCGTTACAGGAGCGTATATACCTGTAGCATAGTCATCACAAGAAAAAAAAAACTACGCAGAAGTAGCAGAACTGTGCGCTTTGCTGTGTGTACAACACATGGGGACGCCTTGGCGAAATTCGACTCAACACGAAAACATACTTGCGGGTGGGCGTGTTAACCAAAACGCTATAAAGCAGAGGTCCCTTGAGCAACCTTCCTATATGCCCCCAAATAGTATCCGTTATAAGGAAACTACTAAGCTTGTAACGACCCTGTGACCTATACATACATGCCTAGCACAAGTGAAGCACGCAGCACAACGGTTGCGGCGTCAGCACCAGTAGCAGCAGCAGCAGCATCGTCATCATAACACTTTATTATTTACCCTCGATCCCCGGACGGATACGAGAAGGCAGGATAGCGGTTACTTCAGGCACCGTTCAAAGTATGTCGCGCCGACGTAGCCTCCAAGCATGGCCATCCTGACGTTTATTTCAAACAGTTTCCGGTCATTCTGCAGAACTTCCGCGGCGTCCTTGTTGAGCGGGTCCTCGGGGTTTGGCTCGAGGAAGAGAAACTGCAGGCCGTACACGATAGAGTTGACCGTGAGCACAGGATTCCAGTCTTGGCGCAAGATGTTCAGGCAGACGTTCCCGTCGAGGTCGATGTTCGGGTGGTAAACCATTGTGTCGCACTTGACTTTGGGCGGTTCATGCGGGTAGTTTGGACTTACGCGAAAGCTGAAGACGAAGCGTCCGTTTCGGTGAAAGCCCTCGTCGGGGCAGATGACCAACTTGAAATTCAGCAGATCGTCCGGATCTGGGAACTCCATGCGGCAAGTCTTGGGTAGGCTCAAGTCGTTGATGTCCTTCGTAACGCGTAGTTGGGCCACTGAGGCACGCTTCTGGCTCGTCGGCGTGTTGCCCGTCGTCTCGCCGTCCTTCTGCCGCTTGAGGGAGAAGAGCTTAAGCATTGTCACACTGCACAACTCCTTCGAACGAAATCACAGAACAGGTACGACGCACAACGCTGCCCCAACGTTATAGTGTACTAGAATGTTCAAAGTGGCGAAACCAGATGCAGTGGAGCAGCCCGTTTTGTGTGGAAATTAGCGGCGGCGCTGTAGTCGATTACACTTTAAAGCGCCCTGCGGGCTCGCGGGCAGCAGCTAGCAGGGGCGTTTGCGGGAGTGGTGGAATCGCAAATGAAGTAGCCACCATAATTGAACTGCTTTAACGTGCCGGCAACGCCTCCTAGAAAAATTATGCCTGGAACGTCGCTCTCTTTTCAATTGAGAGCCTCTTGCCAGCACGCAATCTCAGAGGCATTGCCTCCTGCCTTGTGTTGCGACCAGCCGCCGCGTGAGACCACTGGCCTCCGTACCGCTCAGTCACGTGACATAACCGTACTGTCACGTGACAACACGGCTGCTCGGAGGCAACTGTGAGAGCACTGCTGTGTTCGCAGGTGGGCCGTCGGAGACGCTCCCCTTCGTACCGAAGGAGGAGAGTAAAATCAGAGGGTAGGGCAGCGCGTTCGCGGCTCACGTTCCAGGCATAATTTTTTTAGAAGGCCTTGGTGCCGGCTATATCTAAATGCGCACGTCAGATGCCAGAATGACCCTAGTGATGTTGTTAACTTTTTTTTTACTACACACGCAGTCTCATTTCTTTTAAGCTGTATTGAGACGCGTTATTCAGAGCGTTCCTTAACCTCAGCTCCGCGCAGATGTAGTGTCTCGAGACTACCGAGGCAGTGCAGGTAACTACAGCGGCATAGCGTTCACATTTCTGACAACCGTGTCTCATCGGGAGTGGCCAGTTCGGCTGCTAAACAACTGCAAAATGAAGTGACAGCCTACAATCAGTCAGTAGACGGCGTGCAATCAGTGACGCTCTTCTGGCTGTCACACTGCTTTCTCTGGTTCCACTCTCACCGTTAACCACAGGCATGCATGACCACAAGGGCAAGTTTAATTATAATCAATTGTTAATAATGAATGCGAGTCATCGGGATGGAGATGTATCACTTCGTTACCGTGGATGTATTTACGTTAAACGGTACTTTAGCTGTCATATACCAAAAGACACAGTATACACTACGGACTACGCCAAGCACTCCGTTTTTACATGTGATTTCGATTTCGGTTTCACATGCGCATCTATAAGATTTACGTTTTCGCACGAGCCCCCAAGCTTTATGATGTTATATTTAGGTACAGTTTTCGAAAAATAAGTCACTCATAAGCGTCAACCGACGACTATGATAATCATTAAAATACTCATACCAGCGAACGAAAAATATATGGAACAAATTCGACGAAATACACGGAACTTGTGGGAGTCGAGCACGCCCTTCCCTTTGACGCCTCGTTCCCCCAGCTTGCTCGAGCACCGGGAACATGGTCACCGTGGTTTCCCTATATTGTCACAATGCAGAAACAGCAGCAGTTGAATATAGGACAACTCACTTTAATTGTACCAGACCACTGGTAAACTGATCGGTTGAGAATTAACCTCGTCTTTCTCCCTCGCGGCGCGTGCTCTTCGTTGTTCTCTTGGTGCTGCATATTCAATGCGGTGTTTGCCCCCCCTCCAGAGAGCAGCGTCCCGATGCTCTTCTACAAAAGACTGGTGCGGTAGATGTGGTGTAAATCAGTCCGAAAAATAGGGCTTCATTTGCACAACGTGCACGATTTCTGGTTTTTGCTGGCGAGTTGTCGAGGGGCTGTCAGGAACTACCACGTAATTAACGTCACTCAGGCGTTGTAAAACTGTGTAAGGGGCCAAAATACCTCTTCAGCAATTTTTCAGACAGTCCCCGGCGGCGGGTAGGACTGCATACCCAGACTTTGTCACCAGGCCGATAGACAACTAGTCGGTGTCGCAGATTATAACATTGGGCGTCGTAATTTTGCTGCTGTGTGATTCGGACGCGTGCAAGCTGCCTCGCTTCTTCTGCTCGTTGGGTAAAAGATGCAGCGTCCAAATCGATGTCATTGCAGTCGTGCAGTAACATGGCGTCAAACATCATTCGTCACTTCACGGCCATGAAGGAGACCTGAACGGCAGTTCTTCGTGTAGTTTCTTGCTGCGATGTATTTTAGGCGAACATGATGTACGGCAGAATATCGTCCCAGTTCTTGTGAGCCACGTCAATGTACATACTCAACATGCCGGCAATATTCTTGTTGAGGCGTTCTGTTAATCCGTTCGTTTGTGGATGACAGGAAGTGGTTTTTCGATGGGCTGTTCTACTGAGCTCAAGCACTGTCTTCAGGAGCGTGGCTGTGAAAGCGGTAGCTCGATCCGTTATTATGACTGTCGGAGCACCGTGCCTCAGGACGATATTTTCTGTGAAGAATCATGCGGTTTCAACGGCGGTGCCACTTGACAAAGCCTTTGTTTCCGCGCAGCACGTGAGATAATCAGTGGCGGCTATTACCCACTTGTTGCCAGCATGGGAAGTCGGATATGGTCCGAGGAGATCCATTCCAATTTGGGCAAAAGGTGCCGTGGGCACTTGAATTGGTTTTAATAGTCCAGCTGGTTTTAACAGTGGTGATTTTCCTCGTTGGCAATCGGGGCACGTGCGCACGTAATGTTTCACAATAGCTGGAAGTCTTGGCCAGTAGTATTTGGCCGGATTCTGGCCAATGTGCGTGTGTATCCGAGATGACCCGACGTTGGCTCTTCGTGGCAAGCACTAAGTATCTCCTCACGGATTGACGTCGGAACGATAAGTAGGTGGGTGCTTCCTCTGGGAGAAAAGTTCTTCTTATAGAGAACACCACGACGTAAGCAGAACGACGGCATGCTCCTTGCAAATCTTCTAGGGACGGTTGTTGTCCGGGCATTCAAAAATTCAGTAAGGGGAAGAAACTCGCCGTCTTCCTTCTGCTTGCACGAAATCATAGTGGTGTCGACGAATACTACAAATGTCATGTTGTCATCTTCTGTGTCATCGTCGTGCTTTATCGGTGACCTTGATAAGCAATCGTCGTCGGCGTGCTGCCGTCCAGACTTGTACACGACCGTCATATCAAACTGCTGAAGGCATAAGCTTCACCATGTGAGCCGACCAGACTTCATAACCAACTCATAACCGCCCATACGACAGCAAGACACTCTTTTTCCGTTGTGGAGTAGTTGGACTCGGCGCGGGAAAGCGTCCTACTAGCAAATGCGATCACACGCTCGGCTGAGTCTTGCCACTGGACGAGTACAGCACCTAAACCCACGTTGCTGGCATCTGTGTGGACCATGGTAGAAGCATCCTCATCAAAGTGGGCAAGCACAGGCGGTGTCTGCAGGCGTTGTCGGAGATTGTCAAATGCCACTTGTTGATCGTCGCCCCATGTGAACGAAACGGCTTCTCTTGGGAGTCGTGTTAACGGTGAGGCTATGTGTGAGAAATTCGCAATAAACCTTCGGTAGTATGCGCATATAGGCCAAGGAAACACCTGACTGCTTTCTTATCTGTTGGCACCGGAAATATTCGGATGGCCGCAATCTTATCGGGATCAGGTGGAACACCTTCATGGCTCACCACATGACCTAAAAGTTGGAGTTCCTTGAAACCAAAATGTCACTTCTGGGGTTTTAGTGTCAGGCCGGTAGACCTTATTGCCCTGAATACCTATAGCAGCCTGCTCAGATGTTCCTCAAATGTTTTTTAAAAAACAATGACGTCGTCCAGATAGACCAGACATGTCTTCCACTTAAGGCCTAACGCAACGGTATCCATTAGTCTCTGAAATTTTGCGAGGGCTGAGCACAACCTGAAGGGCAAGACTTTAAATTCATAAAGCCCGTCAGGCGTTACAAAAGCCCTTTTCTCTATCTCGCTCGTTCACCTCAATTTGCCAACACCCACTTTTGAGGTCCATTGACGAGAAGTAGCGTGCATACCTCAGCCTGTCGAGTGAATCATCGATGTGCGGTAATGGGTACACGTCTTTCTTAATCATATGGTTCAGCTTGCGGTAGTTGACACAAAATCGCAAGCTTCCGTGTTTCTTTTTAACCAGCACTACCGGCGATTCCCAAGGACTTCTTGGCGGCTAGATGACGTCATCATCGAGCATTTTCTTCACTTGTTCCTGGATTGCTTCACGCTCTTTCGGTGCTACACGGTATGGGTTTTGTCGTATTGGCCTCGCCGTCTCCTCTGTTATTATCCGGTGCTTCGTCAGTGGCGTTTGATTGGCCCTCGAGGTCGATGAAAAACAGTATTTGAACTTGTGAAGAAGATCTACTAGACGCTGTCTCTGCGCTGGCGATAAATCCGTGCTCACGTCAATAGGTGGTGGGGCTGACGTGGCTTGCGGCTCGTCCTGATGTACTACACAGCACTTGCGGATTTCGGTGATCTCGTCGAAGTAGGCAACTGTAGTGCCTTGTGTAATGTGTCGTCGCTCGTTGGTAAATTCGTCAACAGAACCTCCGCTTCGCCGCACACAACATTGACGATGCTTCAGGCAATTGCAACATCGTGAGAGAGTAGAAGCGTCAATACTTGTTTAGTGATTCATTTTCCGGTATGCTGCGTGCTGCACGTGACCGAAGCAAGGCGGCACGATAACGGAGCTACGGTCACATCGTCAATGACTCGCAGGGATTTTCGGTGTAGCGCTGCGCTTTGATCCGCTGAAAAGGTCAGTACACCGTCCGGTATATTGATGATGGCACCATATCCACGCAATAAGTCCATCCCTAAGATTGCCTGTTTGCAACACTCGGAAAGAATAACGAAAGTTGCGACGATGGATGCATCCCTTATCTTCATTATTGTGGTGCACTTTCCGGTATGTGTGAGTAGCTGCCCTTCAGCTCCTCTAATCTGCGGTCCGGTCCATTCCATTCTAACCTTCCTGAGCTTGTCTGCCAGACTCTCACTCATTATTGAAAAGTCCGTGCCAGTGTCGACGAATGCAATGACGTCGTGTCCGTCAATCGTAATAGCAACTTCGGC